AATTACATTCCACGGCTAATTAGCAAGATAAAAACAAGGATCCGCGATCATTTTTAACACCTATGATGTGTTAAATCACGATGTTCTTGAAGCTCTATCCTCCGATTTCCCTTCCCTTTACACTGCAAATACGTTTTTGAATTGCTTTATGGAATATCAGTATAATTTATTTGATTTTGCTATTGTTGAATTTTGATTTCAATTTTAAATTGCGTTTCTTTCGTTGTTTTTTAGTACATTTTTACTTGTAAATTGTGGAATGAAGTAATCTAGCTTCAAATAAATGATAAATATCTATTGTGTATAGTGAAAATAAAAAGGGGTCACTTTTGTGGAAAAAAAAAGGGTAACTTTTGAAAAAAAAAATTAAAAAAGGGCCACTTTTGTTAAAAAAAAAAAAAAAAAAAAAGCAAGGTTCCTTTTGTGAAAATATGGATCACTTAAAAAAAAAATCTATAATATTACTTTTCACACGCGCAAAATGTTCGATGTACAATAAAATTATTGTAAACCGGGGGCATGCAAAAGTTATTGAAAAAAATACGCAAGTTGTAGGGAATAATTTCAAGCCTTTAAAATCCCACTAGCTTGAACCCCATTGTGATCATACACTAAAGTACGGTGGCGTCCAAAAGGGAAGAAGATAGAGCAAAAAGAGTCGCCAACAAGTTTTTTAGGAACTTGTAAACCATCACGAGGTGAAGGTTACACCCCTTAACAATCCAAGAGATCGTCAACTCCATAAGGTCATGAACCAAATAAGGGTTCGGGAATGATGGTACAAATCCAACCTAAAAGAGATTGAACCTGCCCTAATATAGGCCTCTACTTTATTCTGCTCGTATTCATGTGCACTTTCTGATTAACATGCAATCAATAGGATTAACCCTAAACATGTTTAATCTATGTTGGTTGAATTTAATGCACAAATAAACTATTATTGGCGATCACTTGAATTTATAATCACAGTTAACCCTAAACAAGATTATTAATATCTTATTAAGCGTGGTTGCAAGTACAAAATTCCCTTTAAACATGCATAAAAAGGTGTGATCAAGCAATAACAATAATAATGTATCAAGCAACATAATAATAATCATGATAATAATAATAATCATCATAAAATTATAATCATAATCAAAACAATAACAATCATAAATATTAGGAAGAGAATAAAAGGCATCATACTTTTAATCATACTTAATATTAAAGTTACCCTAGACATGATACTAGGAATCAAAATAACAATCTAAGCATGATTTCTATATCATAATATCAATTAAACCATTAAAGTACTTACTTGGATGCCTCGTACCTCTTTCTAATAACAAAATACACACATTAGTAACTTCAAGGAAAACAATAAACAAACAATTAAATTAAATAATTGAAATAGAGATTTGGGACCAAACCCTCAGAAATTAAACCTTTCACATCTAGGACGAAGGCAACTTCGAATATGGCTAGGTGTTTCTAGATCTTGTGAATGCGGAATTTTGTATTTGATAAAAGGCTAGTTTAGAAAGAGAGAGAGAGAATAATCAAGAAAATCTTGATGAGATTTGGTGATTGATTAAGAGAGAATTAGAGAATTAATGATTGCGAAAGAAAACTGATTGTTGATGAGAATTCATGAATGAAAACGGAGTTTTTAATACGATATTTATAGAGAAAATTAGCCAAAAAAAAGATAATTTAACAAAACAGAGTCTGAAGACCACAAAAACACATTGGCGCCAACCCTGGCTAGTTGGCGCCAGCACCAGTGGCTAGCGCCTGGCGCCAATGGCTAACGTCTGGCGCCAAGCCTGGTTCCAGGCGCCAAGGCCTGGGGTTGGACGCCAAATCGGCTTTTAACGCGTTTTCGAAAATCTGATAAACTTACCGTACTGGAAGATAAAATAATATAATTTCCATCGAAAATGCTATTTGATCTTGATTAAAACTCTGAATAGTCCTAATTGAATTAGGAATTATAAGACCTTCTAGAATGTTCTAGAAGACTAAAACCATTCCTAATTGCATTAGGAATGATAAATTATATTAGGCCCTCCCCTAAATCATTAGGCCGTACATAAAGCTCGAACCGGGCCCAGTTTAGTAAATTGGCCATAATTTCCTCAATATTCATCGAAATTGGGCTTATAATATATCGTTGGAAAGTTCTTTGCAAGCCCCATCCAACTACACCATTATTGGACCCATATCATGGACCAACCAAACTGGATTGGCTGTTTTCTTAAAATAAAGTTTTCAAAAACAGAGAGAAGAGAAAAGAAATAAAACTTTCCGCAACACTAGACATTTCCACACTTTCATTTCATTCGATTATGATTCGACGTGAAAGACACTCATCACTGGGTTTGGTTTTGGGGAGACACAAATGGGTGCCTACACAAGTACTAAATGCAGTACAAAATAATCTAAATGCAGAAATTAATTAATGATACGAAAATAATATTCCCTCTGTGTTTTTTAAAGTGTTACACTTACCAAATCCGGCCGTGTTTTAATAAGTGTTATACTTACTTTTTTGGCAAAAAGCTACATTAAAATATATATCTCTCTCCTCTCATGGTCCCCACCTAAACCCACTACTATTTTTTTTTTTTAAATATATCTCTCCTCTCACATTCATTATTTTTCAATAAACTATTAACCCCACTATCTTTCTTTTTCAATTCTTTAATACTCTAAGTACCCCACTTGTCTCTTATTTTATTTAAGTCAATTAAATTGCCTAAAACTATGTGCCGGTCAAAGTGTAACACTTAAAAAAACACGCAGTAGTAAAAAGACGGGCTATTTGCCTAAATTTTTGAACACATTACAGTAGTTGTCAAAAAAAAAAAAAAAAAAAAAAAAAAAAAAAAAAAAAAAAAAAAAAAAAAAACAGGACAAAATTAAAAAAATCAAACCTGAGGGAGTATTATTTTTACTACTCCCACGCACAAATAAAAGGATTGAAACCACAAAAAGTGAATGATGTAAAGATTCAAACGATAAAAAAAACAAGGGGAGAAATAGTCAGGGACTCGGGGATAAATCGTACCAACACTTTAAACTTCTATAGCCCAAAGTCCCAAACGGTCTAAGAAAATTGCTTTATGTACAAATAAGATAATTTTGTCTCACTAAGCTCTTTGTCAAACACTTCCATTAGACTTCATTATTTTACCCCTAGCAAAAATAGGACAATTATCAGTTTTTTATTCTTTGATTTATGAATCAGTGAAGGTGACTTCATGAATTGCATAGATGATCAAGGTTTATTGAGGAAAGGAGGCACAATAGCCAATAAACACTAAGTAAATTAATATGCTCTTAACTTTTTAAGGGCATATAATCTTTGGGTTGGCAGATCACTTGATTCAATGATCAATTGGTTGTTCAGGGATGAGGCATCAATCTATCTAGTATAAATTTAGGTAAAAAAAACCCAGAAAAAGATAGAATAACCTCTCGTAGTTAACAAAAAAAAGTCATTAGCAATGCACATATTAAAATTTTATAACAAAAGACGCATATTCTAAATAAATAAACTTAAATCACCGCTAGAGTATTCACAATTGATAGGAGACTAATCAAGAAGAAGATTTATGATATTAACACAAGGGATTTTTGACACCATTTGAATCAAAGCTCCATGAATGCGGACCAGATTTAAGCACAAACGCACCAGAACAATCCTAATAACAGCATGTAGCATCACTGTGTAAGCTTTTCCCACCTTCTAGGACAGGCCAATCCAATTCAACTACTGAAGTTATTGATGTACAAACAAGAGCCTTGATTTACCCTTCACACACTATAGTTGTAAACTCAAGAATGTTAAATGACTGACAGTACAACGAACATTCCTACATTGCATCTCTGAAGCAAATCTCCTTCCTTGCAAAGTCTGGTAAAAGCTTGCTCCCTCGGCTTTGATTATGTTTTCCCCCGCAATAACTTGCAGCTTAAAATCTTCATTATTAATAGCACCTGAAAGCACCAAACAATAACAGAATATAGCAGAAGTGGTAAAATTTGCAAATCACTTATTAAAGAGCTCGGAAGCTGTACTCATGCTTCAAAAATTCATTTAGCTTGATTGTTGGTGTATCACCTGTTGCATCCACGATGCATCTCTAAAGAGCATTGAAATAGTCACCATTTACACTTGAGTGCAACATTCCTACACTAAAACCTCGAAAATTTAATTGATAGATTTCAGCTTATAAAGGTTAGTAGGTGATTCAAGTCTGAAATTGTTGATCCTTAACCAAGAACAAACAGTATAAAATGCATCACCTACAAATTAAAGAAAGCCTAACAATTGTTTCCTTTGGCAATTTTTCAACTTACATACAAATTAAGTTTCATGTTGTAGCATGAAACAATAGTATAAGAGAGAGACATCTTAATAATAAGGTATGACAAAAGTGGAACTAAAGCACAAGTGCAACTCATGCCAATATTACAGTTTTCTGTTCTCTGTGTATATACACTTATACCAACTGATTCAATGGTATAAAAGTCCATACAACAAAGAGTGTTGGATTAATAATGACACTGAAATTTGAATCACTAGCTAGATTAGGGGCAATATAATTTCATTTTTTTTTTTTTTTTTTTTTTTTTTTTTTTTTTTTTTTTTTTTTGTAGATAAGCTAGACAGTCACAATTAGCAGCATCACATTATCAGACTATCAAAATGAACCCTGAAAGTCTGAAACTCCTCTTATCCTCTAGTTCCTTAACCCCAACTCTCCTAAATCCCAAAATCACTCCTACAAAGCTACAAGTCTACAACAGTCGATTATAGGCTATAAGCCGATAATGATGAGGATGAGAACCTCAGATTGCGATTTCGGTATATAAGCTCACATATCAGGTAAATATTTCACAAACTTAAAACATTAGAGGAATTATTTGACAAATAAGTAAATAACCATTCTACTCATCATAATAAGATAGTTTAAACGTACATATTCATAGACAATAGAAATTGCTATAAGCTAATACTGCGATGCAGGATTCCGATCATTGGAGGTTACAATCAATCCATTTTGAGGACCATTACTCGATACACAAATGTAATTGCCAACAAACTTAACCTCGCTAGGTAGGGAACTCTTGGGAACAAATAACAATGTTTTAAATATCTTGTATTCCCACCATAATTGGTCTCTTTTTAGGTCATTTTCATCCTTAGAATCACTATCATTATCATCAAAAAAATTACGATAATTATCGAAACCATGAAAATCATAAACCGTTGTTAAATAAAGCCGCTCCAAAACATTTGCGTCACGTAGAATGTACTTTAGCAACTTGACACTATTGGCTTTTCCCTTCATTTGCATTATTTCAAGCCTCTTGAGCTTACTTAACAAACACAACGGAATTGGATTATGTACATCAAAGTCCTCAAACCCAAAAGCACTCAATTTAAGATGGGTTAAATTACGGAAGATTGACCCAAGATCCACATCCATGTTACTAAGGACTTTGAAGAAACTCGGATAATAATCAAGGCTAGCAGACTCGACACCTGAAATCCTTTGAACAACCTGTAGTATTTTGGCAGATAAATCAGTATATCTTTTGCCTACATAAAAGTCGTTAATACAAAGTTCTGCCTTAATTAATTTACTTGGATACTCGACAAAGCTGTAATACCCAAGATAACCATGTAGCACAAGGTGTTCTAGCAAAGGTGTATCAATCACAAACTTAACATCTCGAGTTCGTATTCGATTAATCATCAATAATGATTTCAACTTGGGTGATGATATATTCACAACTCCTACATTGGCTGCATTGTCAAAAACCGGTTTTAAAGACAAAACTTCCAAAACAGGGCAAGACTTGATCAATGCCCATAACTTTTGGTAACAATCCAATTGAATCTCAACCAATTCAAGTTTCTTCAAATTAGGAAGATTAACAACTCCCCTTTTAACGTTAGGCAATTTGCAATAAAAGTATCCATCCAACTTAAGCTCTACTAGTGATCGAATTTTAAAGATACATCTGGGTACAAAATCAACAGGTTTAAAATAACATAAAGAGTCAAGACTTATGTTAATTGTAGCTACATTCCGTATACGAACTAGATTAGTAATTGATGTCAATGTCCGCGAGAAAAGTTTAGATTTTGCGTGCGAGAAAGGGATGTGAAGGTTAAAGGTTTGGATATGTGGGGAGGTGATTTGTCGGAGGATATGGAGTATGGTAGCTCTGAATTTCATGAACGTATGATCTAGAGATGTGTAGGTATTGGAAGGCCAAAGTTCCCATTGTTTGTCGAAGGAGAGGTGGGTGAGTTGAGTCCAGAGGTGGCGCCACCGATGAGATAAGACGGAGGTTGCGGCGGCAGATTTTAATGGGAGCAAAGAGAGTATTTCGATCAAAAGGGTGTCTGGGAGTAAGCTTAATCTGTCTTCTACACTATTGTCACAAAAATAGTTTGATGTGGCCAACCACATGTAAAAAATTGGGATATATACTCAATATATTATCAAAAGGGTGTCTGGGAGTAAGCCTTTTTTTTTTTTTTTTTGTGTTCCACCGGTTCATCGTCTATGTATAGAGTATCATTAATATTTTTTTTTTATGAAGAAGAATATTATCATATATATATAAAGCTAAATTTTTAGCAATGTCATGATATTACGACACTTGATTTAGAATTCTATTTGGATAAACTTAAATAGATTTCATAAAATAAAAAGTTAGTTTAGAATTCTATTTGGATAGTATTTTAGGATAAAATTGTTAGTTTAGAGTTTTATTATTGATAAATTATCAATATTTCAGATGTATAAATTGAATTATAATTTTATCCAATAAAATTATTAGATTATAATTCTCAAAAATTATGGAAATAGTTCAAAGCGTAAAACATCCATTTATAACATATACTTATTGGTAAAATTATATACTTCACATCTAATAGAATGGATACATGTCAATTAGGATTGGGTTATGAAGCATCTCGGATTGGGTCACTTCAAGTGATGAGTCAAGAAATGTTCATCCCTTGAACAAAGTTTTGGGTTCGGGTCAATCCAACGTGCTTTGAACATTTATTTATGTATGATGAAAAAAAAAAAATTGTGACCATCACATTAAGGCTATGTTTGGATAACAAAAAATGGAAGGAAAGGAAGGAAAGGGAAGGGAAAGGGAGCGAGACAAACTTCTTTGTTTGGATAATATGTTGGGGGAGGGAAGGGGAGGGGGAGGGAGGGATCCATTTTCCCTCCTCCTTTAATAAATATCATCCCTTCAAAATTGGAGAGATTTGGAGGAAAAATGGAGCTCATTATTTTCTCCACTTTCCCTTCCTTCCCCTTCCTCCTATTTCCCTCCCTTCCATTTCCCTTCTAATTTGTTATCCAAACATAGCATAAGTCAATAATATGCCGCCAAACTAAACTAAACCCTGAAACTCTTCTTCCCAGTAATCTAGACCACCCCTCAATATCTCTCCATTTCCCTCATCCTCTTCATTACACAATCATCTTCTAAACCTGGAAAACAAAGAGAAATTCCAATTAAAAACATAGGATGATATTATCTCATCTCCCCAAACTTCAAACCCAATTTCTCCTCCCTCTAAAACCCAAAACCCCTAAATCCCATTTCAATCAATACCTCCTCAAATTTCGCCAATCCCCAATTTACTCTCTTTTCTCTTCATTATCCCCTGTTCTCCCTACCCAAAACCCTAAATCCCCAAATTTACTCCCACAACAATCAATTATTGATGATATTGATGATGATGAACAACCCCAGATTGAGATTTCTGTAGATAACTATTTGTAATTGTGCCCCCATAATCTTACATCATACCAGGGGCGGATCTAGGGGGGTTCATTGAACCCACAAATTTTTAGGAAAAAAATTATAAGTTTTAATTTTATTTTTATTTTTTAAAAAAAAAGGGTTAAAACGAATTTTTGTGAGATAAATAATCACATGTGTAAGTTTGGTGCATTGGTAAGGCTCTGAATAATAGAGCAGCGCGCCCCTCTTAGAGTCATAGGTCCACCTACCGGCGACCGGCTCACGGACGACAATTCTGACTTCTGAATTTAGAGTTCTTGGAGAATTGTGAGTCCTCTTATTAATCTCTTATTCCTCCACTCCTCTTAATTCTTAATCTTTATTTGTTTGTTTTAGTTTTTTAATTGATTTATGGTTTTGATAATTTGATATATTGTTGATTACTTGAATTGTTGACAAATTGAATTGTAGAAACTTAGAAGTTAGAATTATAAATTTTTACTTGGTATTTTAATTGATATTTGATAATTAGAAGAAGTTTATATTGTCAAATTTGTGTTTATTAGGGACTTGAGATTTTAATTGATAATTAATTGTTTATTTTGTGTATTATTTAGCTTTTGTTCTAAGTAATGCCCCGGGAAATAATCAAATGACTTTTCCTTTAATTAGTTTACTTGTTGATAAGACTAGCACTGATCCTTCCGGTGGCGACTGCAAGCGTTGAACGAGTGTTTCCATCGATGACTTATGTAAAAAATAAGTTGCGAATAGTATGGGTGATCAACTATTGAATGATAATTTAGTTACTTATCTTGAGAGAGACTTATTTACAAGAGTATGAAAACTCGAAGAATGCTTTTGTAGGTTTTTTTTTTTTTTTGTAATTCATCCATTTGTGATAAATAATTTGAATTTATGTATTGAATATTCAATCAATATATGATCATCGTTTTCTTTTATAAGATTTCGAACCCACAGTTCGGAATTCCTGGATACGCCACTGCATCATACACTTTAATTCAATTTTAAGTTTGAGTGCTCAAATTTAGAAGGGGTCCAACATTACATTTGCACTTAACAAGTATACTAATAATGCACAAGTGGTAAATGCAGAATTTGTAAAAATTAGTGTGAAAACTGAGGATTGCCCTTCTGATGGGTTGCCTGAATTTGCCGTTAACTTAGTTACAAAGACCTTAACCATTTTACTCGTACTTAACTTAGTTACGGAGACCTTTCAGTACACAAAAGCAAGTTAGACATACAGGTTCAAAGACAACAAAAATTGCTATCTGCTGATACTTTCATCAGTTTAAGAAACACAGAGAATTTCCACCATAGTACGTCTCTGTTGTAGTCTTTACCATCAGAATCAGAATCATCATTAGGGAAAGGTTAACACTTAACAGAGGGTTTAAATCTAATAAATAGTGGGATTTATCTTTTTTTTTTTTTAATTAGAAACTCATAAAGCTTAAGCTATCCAAATAGACTTCCTCAAAAAAAAAAAATAAATAAATAAATTTAAAAATGAAGCTATCCAAATAGGCTGTGGGATTTATCCTTGGTGTGACATGAATATTTGATTTAATATATATCCAATCAATCGATATGTGTGAGTGTGTGATGAATAACTTATACTACCAAGTAAATTTTAAAACGAACAATGTTGGTTATATATTACTTCATCCATTTTATAATGTTAGTCTCATATGAAATAATCACATAAAATAAAATAAAAAGAATAAAAAGAATATTTGAAATCTAACATATTACTCCGTACAAATTAATTCATAATTAGTTTACCTCAATTAAGTTTTTGATTTTTTTTTTTTTTGGAGAAGTATAAGTCATTATTGCAAAATTCAAGGTTTAGCCATATGAGCAAAAATATTCTAGAAAGGTTATTAAAGCTTATTAAATGATGTTTTTTTTATATACTTATTATTAAATGTAATTAAGGTTTTTTTTTTAGAATTCCCTATGATTGCAAGTTACAAGTTGGAAAATACCTACAATATAATAGGCCAAATATAATTATTATGATTGTATATATAATTCAAGAGGTCAGTTATCACTTTACTTTGCGAGCATATAAGTATATACATGGCTTCCTAACTAAGGAGAAAAAATGCCGCAAGTTTAATAAATTTACTAAAGAATGACATGCTTCAGGCATAAGTTGAATAATCCACAAACAAAATCAACTAGGCATGACAATCATACTATAAATGACAAAGTTAAGAGTCATCTCCCATTCCCTAAGTCCCTATATAAAATTAACTCATACATCAAAATCTCTGACCCCAGGACCGACCTAAAAGAAACTCTTACAACGAACAAAAATTATACGGTATCTGAGGATGTGTTGGCCCTGCGAGATCTCTTCCTCTTTCGAGGCCTGCTTCTCTTCGTATCACTATCGGTCTTGTCAGCCTGCAATAGATTCATGTATCAGTGTGAGATAATAGCTTCAATAACCATGCTAGCAGATTAGTTTCGTCCATGGGTAGCACAAAGGCCAATGGAGGAATTTGAACCTATGACCTTAGTCTTTATCATTAAGCCAAAACCTCATTGGCAGGCATGCTATACAAATTATTGTGCAATGGCGTTTAATGCTCTAATAAGAAGCTAAACCATAATAAACGAAGCCTGCTTCCACATGCAACTAATGCAAAGAACATAGAACAATATTGTGGAAAAAAAAAAACCATGAAATTTCTTCATTAGATTAAGAATCTAATGCACATTTCATGGCTTCGAGTAGCAAGGAGTCTAATAAATATGGTATAAACAACTGAATAATGAAAGAAAGTTGGGGAAGGAGAACCGCAAGTCAACACCAGTAATCCTAGAAGACTGCGGTAATCAGTCTGTCACTATTTTTTACCTTAAAATCTAGCCAATACCCAGAAAGGTCATACTTTACAGACACATATTTGCCTTGTACCTAATATGACTGAAACATGACACCCATTGGCAAGATACGTAATGTTAGATCTTGAGAAATAGGACTATGAAACATAAATATAAACAAGATCCTTAAGGCACTTCCTAACTGTTTCATTTTTGTTCTAATAACAGAGCAAGCAAAACAGCCAACAGCTTTTGTTCAAGACTTAACTCAGCTTAAAGTCTTAAACCAATAGCTATATAAATGTTTGACAAATGTGAAACATTAATTAAAGCTTCAAAAGAACTCAACAACCCCCAACCCATCCAAAGTCTTCTCTTGACACTTCTTCCCTCCACAATCCACACCCCTAAAAACAGGAAAAAAGAGAAAGTAACATAGCCATCTCCATAACTATACCATTACCAGAATTTTATAGCATTCATTAGTAATTTATCGATAGCAAATGCAAAACCTGAACTGCATTGCTGCACTAAGATGTTTGCAAATTCATCAACGTAATAGATAAAAGATAGCTTGAAAGGCTTACCTTCCCAGCACTAGGACCCGAACTGCTGATAGTTTTCTTCTTTTTACACGACAGCGGGTTTGGACCCTGCAAGGTTGGGTGGAACAATGAAAGCCTGAGTTAGATGACCACATAAAACAAAATGATGAAACAGGAAGAAATACATCATTATCAAGTGTATTAGCACCTTTAAAATAGCCTTAATCATGAGGGGAAAAAATAACAGATATTAGGTATATTCCATTACTCATAAGTCCAACATCAGTGAGGATACAGGTACATTCAGATTATGTCCTCGATTGACCAGAGCAAGAGCTCTTGTAATTCAAACCCTAGATCTGAAATAATTTCACTACAGCACCTTCATGACCACTAAATACGGGTAGAAGGCCAGGCTGAAGGTATGTGTTAATAAGTTTCCCCTTCTCCTTCCTTTCTCTACTCTATCAATCTCTATCCTGATAATAAAGTCATATTTATCTAAGACGTGTATCCTAGGAATGTCCTGCATCATGCCATATTGCACCAACAGCCAATATCTAGGAACAAAGTACGAGCCAGAGCAATTAAACTCTCAACCTTCGGAAAGGCTACAAAAAAACATGATTCCATATACCACTGTCCTTAAGGGTTGATGTAACTGTCAAAGTAATATAGCTGCCATTAGGTTCCTAGGTTCCATAGTTCCAGTATATAATCAGGAAGAATACCTCCTTGGTAACCTATACCATAGTCCATAGGACTAACAGTATAATCTTCTATTTGATTTTGGAAACAGGTTCAAGTTGTGCAGATATACTACTCATAGCATCGGAACTACATTAAAAACAGGTTCAAGTTGTGCAGATATACTTAAATGTCAATGTTCCTAAAGTAGATCAAAGCCAATGAGAAATGGCTCCTTTTTCCCAACATGTTAGACCACTAAAGAGGCTAGGAGGAGGCAGGGAGAATGGCACACAAACACATGCAGTGAGATTATACAAAAAATAGATAAATAAATAAAGAAAAAGTACACGTATGTGATTTCATCAGGTGTAACGGATTATAACCTTTGCTCTTTTCTTTTTAAATTGAGCCTTGTCTTTTGCATGAATTGCATCTGTCTTACTAGGCACTCGACTTACTACAGGCTGACCCGGCAAATCCTCATCGTCAGTTCCTTCCTCTGCTGGGTCCTTTAATTCCTTGGTATTCAATATGCCCTTTACTCTCTTTTGTAACAACATATATTCTGAATCAGTCATATGTAGCCTTTCTTCTTCAGCAGCCTTCACAAAGTCACGCTGATATGATGAAAGTTGCTCAAGAAATACAGCATTTCGCAAACCAAACATCACTGGGACTCCAGGTACCTGTGAAGAATTTAGAACAATGAATTAGTGATATGAATCCAGTCAGGAACATCTTCATAAACTTAAAATTGTGTTTGGATAACAGTCACAGAAGCAAAAGGGAAGAGGGGAAAAGGTAAGCTTACCCTCTGCACCTATCCAGCATTATAAAGCTTTAAATAATTATTGTACTGGTTAAGGACTTAAGGCTATAATGCTATATTCTATCATTGAGCAGTTCGTAACAATAAATTTCTTTTGAATAAATATTGAATTCTTAAGTACCATCATAGAAGATTAAAAATAATAGAGAACAAAGGCAATAACTAAAGTTACCTTTCGGGACTTCTTTCGTAACTCAATGTCTTGTGTAGCAACAAAGAAGTGTTCAGGATTATTTTCTCCAATAACTTCTATTATACAATTTAAGGCACTTTCCTGTTCTCCATGCTCACATCTGCCACAATGTCAAGTGTTAAACTATATCAAGGAAACTCATTGTTTTGATCAAAGAAAATCTGCAAACAAAATTCTTTATGGTAGTATCATATAAAAAAAAAACCCATGCAACCATTCAAAATTTAAACAGCCAAAAGACTCCAGGAAAATCTTTAAATTTACCAAGCATAAGCCTCTTCAAGCACACAGTGACACAGACTGATGACACTAAACATATTTAGATGCCATACCCAATCCATCAAAGTGCCTTTTCAAAATATATCAATGTTTCTCTGACTGCCAAGTCAGAGAGAAACTGCAATAATGTATCATGAAACATCTTACAAGAAGTCAGTATACAAAGAATATGGATGCTCTCAGTCTACAATCTATCTCTAATTGCCTAAGTCAGACAGAAACTGAGGGCAATAATAAATCATGAAACAACTTACAAGAAAAATCAGTCTTAAATGGGAGTATTTAGTTCAAGTAATTTAGGTATAAGGTATGGGTTTAATATAGGTAAAACAAAATATCAATTTCCAAACACATACTTCCTCCATTCTTTTTTACTTGACCCACTTTGACTTTTACACTATTCACCACCCCTCCTTTGACTGTCTTTTGTGGATTATATGTACAGAAAAACATATTCATGTGGGATCTTGTTAGATTCATCTCAATATAAACCATAATAATATATAATTTATATAATTTTTACTATAGAGGATTAAAGTTATTGAAGTTAAATTCTGCATTGGGCAAACGTGATAAATTAAACAGGTCAAAGAAAAAAGAACGAAGGAAGTACCTTAAACCCACAAGGTATAGAGTTTAGAAACACAAGGAGGGAAAAGGTGTGTGTGACTCAATCCATATCTTCAAGTATCAAATAAAAAAAAAATGTTCATTGCTGAACAAAGCCAAGCACATAGTATTGTATATCAAATCCGACTCATACCACTCTGTGAACAGAATATGGATGCTCTAACTGCCTAGTCAGACACACACTGCTACTAAGAGCAACCTTATATCATAAAACACCTTACAAGAAAAATCAGTCTAAAATGAACATAGGAGGCCTGATGAGCTTATGGGGGTGTTTGGTTTAGAGCTTTTTGGAGAAAAAAGTGTTGTAGGATCATTTCAAAAAGCTATTTGGGGTTTTTGGTAAAAAGTTGTTTGAAATAGCTTTTTAAATCCAAAAAAAACTCTCTTTCAAAAAGCTCATATGAGGAGCTATTTGAAAGAGCTTTTAGCTTTTTGGTCGTTGATACATTTAAACAACAAATAACTAGCAGCTATTTACCAAACACTAATACACAAACAATTGATTACAATCAGCTAGTTGAAACACCTAATGCAAACAACTATACCTCTTTGCCTCACCCTTTCTTATTTCGATAATTGTTTAGATAAGTTCAAAACAAGTTCAGATTTCCAATTTTCCATCAGAGTTAGGACAAAACGAGGTGCAAGAAAGAACTAAAAAAGGGTTTCTAAATTAGAGTGAATTCACCTAAGCAACGAAGCCAAGGATGAAGCCTTGATATATTTTAATAAATTAGATCAAAAAGGCATAGGACAGTATTTCAAAGGGAAAAAAATACAATACTGAGAAATTTAAATAGCTTATGCCTGGCATCAAAGAAGGAAAACATAGAATAAGATTACCATGAAAATAAAATCACTTGGAATTTGGAAATAGAAGATTTCAATGGAATTTCAGGTGCAGCTCCACTCTCACCTTCCTTCCAAATCCCCCCAACCTCCTTTTGTTTTGGTTTGCATATTGGTTTTGTACACAAGGGATGTCAAGCACCAAAGAAAGGAAGCACCTCGGTAGAAACCCACTGAACATTACCGGAAACTAACAAGAGGCATTCCAGTTGAATTAAATATCCTAGTAGTATAACTACACTACAAATTACACACTCCATATATGATTTCAACATTACAGGAAATCATACATTACAAAGTAAACCAACTCATTTCACACAATGGAACATTAATTCAAAATTGTTATACAAAACCCATAACAATAGCATAGTTAAGCAAACATTAAAACAAATTCCAATCCAAATTAAATTAAAAACTGCTAAAAAGAAGGAAAAATGAAAAGCAAACCTAGCAAGCTTGTAATCTCTCCGAGCAACACGATATGATTCAGCATGTGATTTTCCAAGAGACTTCAACTCTTCAATAACACATCTAATAAAAAACATACTCATTAAAAATTAATATTAAAAAATTAACCAAAAACGCAGAAAAAAAATTGAATAGTACTAAATACAATCAAAAGTAGAAATTACTTGGTAGTGAAGAGCTGAACAGAAGCACCAAGAGTGTTAGAGACAGTAGTTTCAGGAGAAAGATGATTAGAAACAAGGTGATGAACAAAGGTACCGTCGCATAGAACTTTGAATGGTTCTCGAAAACCAAAGCAAGCAGTGTAGAATCTGACGGTTTTTCTGTGACGCTTTTGCTTTTTGAATCTCATTGTTCAGGAGTTACAATTGAAGGAAGAAGAGTTTAGTAGGAGGAAGAATATTCAGAAGAGGAGTTTTGCTGATATCATTGCTGATTGGGGAGTTACTGTACATCGATCACCTCTTCTATTAGGAATTGAATTTGTGTGAGCTTGTAATGAGGGTTGTGCCTGCTAGGTGTTTGTTGATATGTCTAAGTGAAAAAATGATGGTGATGACTACTACACTACTACTTGTTGGACGGTGGCGGATCTAGGATTTCGGAGCTAGTGAGTCACCCTGAATTTGATGACCTGTAAAAGTACAAAACAAATTTGAATCTATCATTTCGGAGCTTCGTGGCATCTTATCAAAAATCCGACGAGCTTTCTCTAAAAACCCAAAACTCACATACATGTAAAGCAAATTGTTATGAGAAAACCCATCATTTAAAACCCAAATTTGATAACATGGGCATGAATTTGCTTGCCTTCTAAAATCCAATTATCAATGCGACAAGCTCTAACAAGAGAAGGAAACGTGAAATTATTAGCAAAACAGAGTCCTACAACATTCGTAAGTACAAAATCAAGCATTCCCTATCCAAATAGCATTGCAAACAAGTAAATAACCCCTGATTAAGGTGTTGTATATGGATGCATCTGGTTGGGGCATTTTATCAAACAGTTGGTGGGCATAAACCAAATCACCAGATTCCAACAAAGCACAAAACTTGATAGCTCTACCCATTACATCAAAGTATGAAACAATAAGTTCAATAACCAACTAATCAAGACTACAAAGTACCAATTTTACCAAATAAAGTTCAATTCAATTCAATATTTCAACACCACAATGAACATATTGAACAACCTTGTCAAAGTACAGTCAAGATTATGAAATTATAAAAGACTAAAATTATAATTAATTAAGTAATAACACAATAATTAACAATTTAATCAATCATATGACTGAAATTATACATAATTAAAATTAAAAGTAAATAACAAATTAAATAGTACATAATTTAAATTTTAATACAATAATACCTTGGTCAGTTGCTCTGCTTCAATCGGAGGTCACTCCGGTCGGTGGCGGCAGGCGGTGTGGCGGCGGTGCCTGGTTATCGTCGTAGATGGTGGCTGATGCTTACTGCGGTAGTGCTATGATGTGAGAGAGACAGAGTTAGGGTTGTGTCGCTTCAGACATTGAGTTTCGTTTGCTTTTGTTCGGTTGTCGCTTGAGACTTTTCATGATTTTGCCTTGTTTATTTTCCTTTTTTTTATTTTTTCAATAAACGGCAATGTTGGGTGTGGCCCAAATGATTTAGGCCCGTTGTTTTAGCAGAGTATTTAAACCCATAAAAATAGCATTCTTTTTTCTTTTTTTTTTTTTGCGATAAAAAAGCTATCAAATAAATGGAAAACTAACAAATACAACATCTGTCAACGAAAAGCTAAAACATAAAATACAACAACTGACGACGCCGGGCACAACCTGCTAACCAGTGAGCCGGAGTAACCCACAAATGAGGAACCTTTTGTACCTGGCAAACCAAAAGGGATTGAACCGAAACCCGCAACTCCTGAATGAGCCACCAAACCGAAATTTCCATTGACCCAGACGGAGGATAAAGAGCAAGAAGGGCAACACAATCTGTATAAACCCGAATTTTCAAGAAGCCTCTACGGATAGCAAACTCCAGACCCCAAACACAAGCTTGAAGCTCATACTGCAACGCTGAACTTGCCATAAAAGCTCGACATCCACCTCCTAGTACCTCGGAAGAATGAATATCACGAACTATCCAGCCTGCTCTAGCCCTATAAGGGGAACAATCTCAGGCCCCATCTATGATCAAACAAACCGTTGGAGAGATATTAGGTAACCCTCGCAGACACTGCCACCTGACATCCAAATTCCAAACATAGCATAGTTATGCAAACATTAAAACAAATTCCAATCCAAATTAAATTAAAAACTGCTAAAAAGAAGGAAAGATGAAAAGCAAACCTAGCAAGCTTGTAATCTCTCCGAGCAACACGATATGATTCAGCATGTGATTTTCCAAGAGACTTCAACTCTTCAATAACATATCTAATAATAATAAAAAATAAAAAAAAAAAACATACTCATTAGTTAAACTTTTGTTAAACTTTCCGTTAGTAGGGCCCAACCATAGTCTTTGCCACCTCCCAGCCACCCCTTAGCCCCCCTCCCTATGTCGGCTGCTGGAAACCTCGAAAACTACCTTCCAACTACCAAAACACCGATTACCGTGTTCCACCCGGTTGACCCTCTATGTACAAAGTATTATTAAGGTACTTTTTTTTAAAAAAAAACATTTTGAAAAATATTTTCATTAATAAATAGTCATACGACATCAATAATAATAATAATAATAATAATAATAATACTCCGTAAAGATTTATAAATCATAAATCTAGAGAAAATAACATAATTTTTACAATCAAAATCATGGCTTGAGATTACATTATTACCATCCTAGCCAATAGTAATTCATGTCAATTATTTACCCATAAATCAATATATTTTACGTACACAAAAGGATAAAAAAATAATTATATAGCCTAGAAAATACTCAAGAATAGCCTTACCAAAATAAAAACTGTTGAAGCATAATGGTTTTGATGATGAGGAATTTGAACTAAAAGCAAATTCAACTAATAAAGATTCTCTAGTGTGTGATTATTCAAGGTGCAGAATAACCTTGGTGATTGAAGAACCATCTGAATCTAAGAAGACATGAAGAAGATCTTTATTGAAGAAGTTAAACAAATCAGAGGAAGAGTTCTCTAACAAGAACTAAGTTCCCTAACAAGAACGTTCCCTAATAGGAACTTGAAGACTAGCAGTTAAGTTCTTTGGTGGAACTTGATATGCTTGTAGCCCAAGTAATTCATCTGATCAAAGTGCGGCGCAGCAATAATAGTTAAGGTTTTATCTTAGAAATTATTGTTAATATGGTAAGTAGGTTAGTGCACGAAATTTATTAGAAACGTGATAAGTTTACTTGGTAAATAAAATAAATATGGAAAATAATAAAAGATAGATTTTAGGAAAAGATTTTCTAAAAAAATTATTTTCTCTAAAGTCGATTTGTTAAAAAGATAAGTCTTTTTAATAAATATCTTTTTATACTTATTTTCGGAAAAGATTTTATTCCACTTGATTTGCTAAAACCGTGTTTAAAAGATAAGTTAAGTTAACATATTTATCTTTTTTGAAAACCTACTTTCTATACAAGTGTTACTTGTATAAATAGTAGAGAGCAAAATGATTTAGGTTTTTGTGAGTTTATGCGTGGAGAAATCACAATGCTTTAATTGAGTAAGTTTACCAAGCTTTTAACTTATCATATTAGTTTCGGATTTCGTGCATTGCTTACCTATCATAATAGGCGTCTTATATTTGTATTGGTTGGGTTATTTGGGTGATATCTATAGTTTGTGTCACATACAGTTTTGTGTTAGCTTCTTGGTGAGGCTGTGAGTTTTGTACTGGGGTGGTACGAGTGTTTTGTACTTTGGCAGTACGTGTAGTACTTTGGTGGTACGAGTGAATCTAAGTGTGGTGCTTAGATTGGGTAGGATAGGGTCCTATCAAGTATCAAGTCCAGTGAGGAACTTGTGAAATAAAGGTCTGTGTCTAATAGGTTGTAACTCGGTGTTTGCCCTATTATAGTGAAGTGTTTTGTGTTTGAAATCCCTAAGGTAGGGTCGAGGTTTTACTTCCAGTTGGGCCCTGGAAGGTTTCCTCGTAAAATCTGTGTGTTTTCTTAAGTTCCTATACACATTGTTTATTTATTCGCAAAAAGTAGTCATTAGGAACTCTATACAATTCACCCCCCTCTTGTATTAGTCGTCTCAACTAACAAAGACAGTGGTAAGAAATTTTTTTACAACATTTTGTTTCAAACAAGTAGTAATTCGGTGCAATGCCCTGACCTCATACTAGTTAAGTTGATAAAATGCACTGGCGGAGTCAACATGGGACAAGAATTGTAAAACTTTTAAACAAATCAACTCAAATACATAATTGTGTGCTATATTTGATTAAACAAAATAAGATGGAGCAATGATGAGTGTAGTAAGTTTTTATGCGGGGGTTTAGATATCGAACCTTATGGATTTTGAATTGTAAAACTTTTTTTTTGGTGTTTAGAGAACCATAAGAGCGGGTGATAGAGAATCGATCCTAAAATCTCTTGAAATCAGAATGAAGCTCTAACTACTTGAGTTATCTCCCACTGTCTGAATTGTAAAACTTTAAGTATTGAACTATTTGTGTGTTGAAGTATTGATTTTTTATCCAACATTTTTGTTCACACAATGTGACCATTACATTATGTGTTAAGAAAAAGATGAAAAAATTGTTACCATCACATTAACATGCCGCCAAACTCAACTGAACCCTGAAATTCTTCTTCCCAGTAATGTAGACCACCCCTCAATCTCTCTCCATTTCCCTCATCTTCTTCATTGCACAATCATCTTCTAAACCTGGAAAACAAAGAGAAATTCCAATTAAAAACATAGGATGATATTATCTCATCTCCCCAAACTTCAAACCCAATTTCTCCTCCCTCTAAAACCCAAAACCCCTAAACCCCATTTCAATCAATACCTCCTCCAATTTCGCCAATCCCCAATTTACTCTCTTTTCTCTTCATTATCCCCTGTTCTCCCTACCCGAAACCCTAAATCCCCAAATTTACTCCCACAACAATCAATTATTGATGATATTGATGATGATGAACAACCCCAGATTGAGATTTCTGTAGATAAGCTGTTTGTGCCCCCAGAAACTGACATTTCTTCATTAATATCAAAGGTTTCGGGTTCGGTTTCGGCTTCGAGTGCTCGAATTTTAAAGGGGTCTAACATTGTGCTTAGCAAGTATGCTAGTAATGCTCAAGTGATAAACGCTGAGTTTGTGAAGAGTAGTTCGAAAAATGAGGAGTGCCCTTCTGATGGGTTGCCTGAATTTGCCCTTGTTGGAAGGTCTAATGTGGGTAAATCTTCGCTTCTTAATTCCCTTGTTCGGAGAAAGAAGCTTGCCCTTACTTCTAAGAAGCCTGGTTAGTTTAATTTCTTAGCTTTTCTAAATTCATAGTTTCCTTAACTTCTGTAATTTATTGCACATTGATAAAGTATTTCGCGTGGATGTTAGCTAGCTTAGTTGGTTAAAGTCTCAGGTGGTACCCAAGACCTCGAATTGAATCCCTGCTTTGAAAGTTAAAAATTTGTTTAAATTTGTATTGCATTGTTACTCTTATATGGTGAGAAGTAATATTATTGGAAGGGACTCAAAGAAGTACATAGTTGATGTTGTTGTTGCTTTTTATAAATTCAACTACGGAGTTATTCGATTGTTTGCTTCATCTATGATTTATTGCAGAAATGATGAATAAATTGTTTTTGCATTGAGAACTTAGCAGGGATGTGTTGATTTTGGGTTTACTTTACTTGAATAATAGAATCTAATTTAGTCATTGAGTTCTTACCTTATCAGTTCACTTGATGGGTGAAAAAGTCTTGCTTTAACATTGTTAAGACCCAGTATTGGTGTGCCTAGTACCCTATTATATGTAATTTTCAATTTTCTTGGGTATATTTTGTGGGCAGCTTAATAAAAGTCTATGGTCGGACTGTCTGAATATTAGGCGATGGTGGTGATTCAATGGAAAATCGTTGCCCAGAGATAGCAGTGTATGTAGCTTTGTTGGTGGCAACTTAAATTCCATCAAGTGCACATCTTTATTGACTATAATACTATATAGCCACTTTTTCAATGCAGTTTAAAAATTAGTACTCTGTACTCTAAGTGTTTAATTGCTTCCTTATGTGTTTTTTTGTGGATGAAACATTCATGTGATTAATGAGCTCAGAGCCTCAAATGTCTAGTACTCGGGCCAGCAGCATGACCCAGGGCTTGTTATTTTTATTTCGAGTCTCCATCTGTAAGAATTCTTGTCTGGAGTAACTTTTCCCGTTTTCCGTACAATGGCTATCCTATTAACTCTCTTTTCTTCAAAACGAGCAAATTTTTTTACCCTAGCTAAAACAACAAGATTGATATGTGCAGATTTACTTGTATTATGCTTGCTCTCTAGTTTGTTCTACTTAAGTAAAAGTTAGATTTTGAATGTTTTCACCATTTGTTTTCTTAGACTTTAAAAGTTCATGTGATTCTAATGTTTTCGATCATCATTGTCTACAGGTAAGACTCAATTGATTAACCATTTTCGGATCAATGATAGCTGGTATCTGGTGGATTTGCCTGGATATGGGTATGTATTGTGTAAATGACTTTCTGGTGATAGTATCACATCAATCTTTATAGTTCATGTGGGATATGTGGTTATCACAATATCACATGTATGGCTGTTTGTCTGTCAACCAAGTTAGAAAATACAATTTGGGAGAATATATTTAAACTTATGGGGCTAGAACAGAGCCGGGGGGGGGGGGGGAGAGGGAGGAACTTAGCTTTGTTTGGTCAATAAAAAAAAATGTTCTACTCATGTCTACTTTATTATTGGACAAATTTAACTGCCTGCGTGATAAACCAATTCATATGTATAATCAATTTTGATGTTTCTAGTTTATTAGAAGTTTCTTGAGTTCAATTAAACTTTTGGGAATATCTTCCCAGCTCCACCTCAGTACTCTTGACATTTTCTACTGTGGATATGCTATCATTTATCTTTTCACTTTCATTCCTGGCATAAGCTATCAGTTTGTGCCCTTTCTTCAAGACAGCTTTCTCTTTCTAGGATTCCAATTTAATACTCAGACATGTCTTCAAATTGGTGTTCTGTGCTCTGCTGCCACCAATTATGCTGGTCAGTAAATAGCCATGCGGTGCTTTCTACGTTTTTAGGATTTTTATGCTTCTTCATATGCCGATGATCATATACTTGTGTTTCTCTAGCTAGTCTGATGATCTCACAAAGTTTTACTAAGATAAAGATTCCAAAACCAATGAAAACTTACGAACATAATCACAGATTCCAAATTGTTGGACATTTATTTTGTCCTGCCATTACCTGTCACCCTGTTTATAATGAAATCGTGGCAGTTAATTGTGCAAATTGGTTATCTAGTTTATGATTTGTGTATTTTGAACAGGTTTGCAGCTGCACCCGGGGAAGTCCGAATAGAGTGGGACAAGTTCACTAAGAACTACTTTCTTCAGAGATCAACCTTGGTTTCAGTATTCCTTCTCATTGATGCAAGCATTCCTGCCAAAAAGATTGATCTTGAATATGCGAGTTGGTTGGGTCAAAATAAGGTTGGTCTTCCTATCTCATACTTTAAATTAGAAAAGTAAAGATATTGTTTTTATTCTCTTGTAGCAGAAGATACTCCCACTTTTGGTGCTCTTATCTTTTCCTGAAATTCTCAAGGATATATTGTCATTGTTAGCTTTTCAAGAAAGATCTTCTCTCGCTCAATGTTAAGCTTGAGGCGCTGTAATCAATTCCCTCTGTTTCTATGGTTCTGTACTGTGTTTATTTTCTTCAAATGTCATTTTAGTTCCTTTAATATAAAAAGTAAGGAACATTGCATGTTATTGTTATCAACTTATCATATTTAGACAACTAGGTGATGTGATCAGGGCTGAGGCACCTGGATAGTATTGCTTCGACAAGCATTTAATTTCCCTGCCATGGTGATTTTAATAATTGTATAGATTAAATCTCAAGATAACTTACAGTGTCTTCATCCATTCCAGATTCCAATGACAATAGTGTTCACCAAATGTGACAAGAGGAAAAAGAAGAAAAATGGGGGTAAAAGGCCAGAAGAAAATGTACAAGATTTTCAGGAATTGATACGTGAGTTCTTTGAAGCAGCACCTCCTTGGATAATGACCAGCAGTGTCACCAATCAAGGCCGAGATGAAATATTGTTGCACATGGCACAATTACGGAACTATTGGCTGAAGCACTAAAAATTGAAGATGCATTGTCATTTCATCAATAGATTGTCATGGGTATAGTGTTGAAGTGTTGAGCCAGGATCTATGATGGTTGAAATTTGAAAGATTGTTTAAGCAGCATGGCTTGGATACATACAAAACTAAGTTCTTCCCCAAAATTGTTTCCTTCCAAATTATCACTCTGCGGTCACGTAATTTCTACCCAATGCATGGTCCATTTAGTTGATATGCTGTAACACACCTGCCTTTCCGTCCTATAACAGCATAAGCAACCATCTTTAACCAATTATAAAGTTACATAGAAGTAGCTCTGATACCATAATACTCTGTAATTGCTAATCCTTTACACTTGTAATCTCTTGCTACACTCTTTTTTCTAGTAATGTTGTCTCTTCGTGATATACGGAATATTCTTTATGAAGTTTTTATAGGTTACTAATTTTGCACTTTTGCCTTCATTGGGTAACTTTTAGAAGATACTCACATATTGTCATCTAGTTTGCTATCATTTTGTTGTGAATTGCAATGTGCTTGAGCATGCAGGTATTGCTATGAACAATGTGAAGTACCAACTACCAAGTACATTGTGTATGTTTTTTTTTTTTTTTTTTTTTTTTGGAGGGAAAGTACATTGTGTATGTAATAATTTCCATTATATTTCACACATGTTTTTTTTATACTTTCTTCGTTTGTATTAAAATTTGTGAAATATTTCCTCTGTTTCTTTTTAGTTGTTACACTTTCCTATGTTAATTTAGAACAATGATTGGCAAAAAAATAGAAAATAGAAAAATAAGAAGAAATATATATATATAGGATGAACAGGAAGAAAGTTGTTTGATTTTGAATACAAAAAGTTACAAAAAGTGTTTGTTTACAAAATGATCTGAATAATTAACTAGCGTAATATCGAATATTTATATTACAAGGTTGTAACTCAATGTTTAACAAAATCCTAACAACTTTGCTAAATAACTAATTCCGTTGAGGTGACGTTTGCTTGTAACTAACTTCTAACAACCAAGATTCCTCTATTTTTTGTATCAATAATCTTATTACACTATGAATATAACTAATGTAAATACTTTTATTTAACACCACTTTGAACAAAAAAAATATATATTTGAATTAAATAATAATTTTGTAACATAAAAAAACAATATAATATTTTTATTATCTTCAATTTTCCTTTGAATGTACGATTTGCTTTTGATATATGGAAAATCGAATATAATATTATTAAAAAAAAGTAATATTTATCAACAATTATATTTTTGGCAAATATATATTATACCAATTGATAAGTTTTCAAAAATTAAAGTAATAATTATTTAACCCTTGTTTTATGTAAATCAAAATTACGAGTTTAAACTGTGATTACAGTTAAAAACTATTTATTTAAAAATTATATTTACTTTTATCCAATGAACATACATATTTTTTTCACACGTAAAGAGTTTTTTTTTCATATATATATAGTATAATAAATCTAGATTGCCACACATGTCAACTTATGAATTACACCATGTCTCTCCAACTTAAAATCAAGTAAAATAATTTCAATTTTTAGATTGAGCCACAACGGCAGGGGTGAGAATCGACCCCAAAAACTCTTGAAATCGGTAATAAACTCTTAACTCTAATTAGTTGAGAACTTGAGCTATCCCTCACTCTTACGAAAAGTTGATTAAATAAGTTTAGATATAGTAAAAATTTGTACATGGGTATAAGTACACATGTATTAACATGTTTTTTTTTTTTTGGAAAAAAAAAAGTTTTAGTTTTTTTTAAACAAGCTTTAATTTAAATAAGTTGAATTGAGCCAAAAAAAAAAAAATAATAATTATCAACAAAGTCCAAGTTTAAGTTTTACTGTATAAAACCAAAAGAAGAAGCCCAATTATTGTTAAACCCTTACTCTAATACTCTATGTTCATATTTAACTGTAACTATAATCGCATTGAAATTTTTAACAATAGGTCTACACAAAGTTTATATGTGGCTGGCCACACGGTGAGGCCAGTCACTATAGGGGTTACTTTGCTACTGTAATGGGGGTTACTTCATCATTATTATAGAGTTACTCGGTCAGTGTTATAGGGGTTACTTGATTGGTATTACAGGGGTTACCTGATCAATGTTATAAGGGTGGTCAAACGGTGTGGCCGGTCGCACACAAGACGAGCCGATAGGTTTAGGGTTTAAGCTGAAGACAAAAAATGGTAACCAATTTTCTCTCTCTTACCTCATCAATGGCGGATTGAACTCAACATTTTCTGAGAAAATTGACAATTGTTCTCTGAATATAGTTTTGGTTTTGGTTTTGTAGGGAAAGGGAACGGGCAGTTTTGGTTTTCATTTTGTTTGATTTTTTTTTGGGAGTGATTTTGAGCTATGATTTGGTGTCGAATTATGCTTACTTGTGCATGATTTTGTGGATTATTTGATGCTTTTGTAATTGATTGTATGATTGATTAAGATTTGAGCTAATTTGGCTTGATTGATGAGTATCACATTTAAGTATTTTCCAAATTTTGGGACAATTTGATGAGTATCACATTTGAGAGTTACTCAATTCTCAAATTTTGGGACAAATTGATGAGTATTCAAGTGATTCTCCTATCCTGTATCCACTACTTAATTGTTAGGAGGTGGGACTGTGAAAAAGAATGACATTTATGTATCACATTTGGGAATTATTTCTTTATTGTTCTCCGGAGCTGTTAGTTGAACCAGTAGTGTTGTCACCGGAATGCGGAAGGATTGTCCGAGTTGGTTTGAGATGGTTTGTATATGGTAATTCTACTTTCTCAATCGAGTGCTGCATTTTATTGAACTTGCACATCATGGGGAATTGAAGACATTATGCTCTTGTGCACCACTCAATTGTCGTGAGCTGTTGATTCTTATTGTATCTGGAGCTGTCGAATAAACTGTAGCGTGTGTTGCCGGCTTCTTTGGATCGAATCTGTTCGTGTAATTCTATTTCTCAGTTCTAAACCCTGGCATGTTGAACTTATGAACCACTTGGATAATGTTGGACCAAGTGAAAGAATTGTTCTATTGATCATGTTGAATTTATGGTCTTTACTATGCTTATTGGACCAAGAGAAATGTAGGTTTCATCAGCTTCGTGCTTTCATGTAGATGTAAATTTATGATTTGGAATATGAGGATGGCTTTGGATGAGGGTGGGACGGTGGGTTGACTAATATATTTGTTCGGTTGCTTGTAGGTTCTTAGCTGGGAAGATTTTAGTCCCCTGAAATTTGTTTGCTCGTTCCTTATGTTGAAATTAGTGATCAGTTTTCATCCACATCTAGACATCTATTTTGATATTTGGTGTCTCAACTTCAACCTCTGTTTTGCTATGTGTTCTCAACTTTGCCCCTTTTGTGTTGCATTGCAGATAACTGGAGTATGAAGGCAATCAGGAGAAAAACAACAGGAACTGGTAGGATGAGGTACCTTCGTAATGTCCCCAGGAGGTTCAAGACTGGTTTCAGAGAAGGTATTGTTTTCATCTTAGCGCCGAAAATTTCCCTATGATTATTTTGTTACATATTTCCTCCCAATGGCTTACTAATCTGCTTGTCAAACCAGGTACACAAGCAGCCCCAAGGAAGCAAGTCGCTGCTGCGTCATAACTTTGGTGTGTGTGAGATTTTGTTGGTCTACATTTCTCTATAGTGGGGAATTTAGATTAGTACGAGCGTGGGATGCCCATGTTTGCATTTTTGTCGGTATTTGCAGAATTTGTATTGGTAATGACTAATGAGATGTTAGCAGTTCTGGGAAGTTTTCAGTTGCATTTAGCTAAATGACATCATTTTCCAATCCAAAGTTTCGATCTCAGTTTAGTGATAGTTTTTAGAATTAGAGTATATCTTTAACTAGAGAGATTTGTGATTGTAAGATCCATTTGTCTTCTATATATATAAGTTCAATTTTATTAATGTGTTCGGAGGTGCCTGATTAAGGGTTAGCATTCGAAGCCAAGTTCTTACATGAGCTTTAGCTTCTTTTCTTCTTCTCCCCTCTCTCTCTCTCTCTTTTTTTTTTTTTTTTTTTTTTTTTTTTTATAATTCCTGGAAATTTTTGTAATTATGCTGAATAATTTCTGCATTACATATATGAGAGTAAAAATGAGGGTTTAATTTGCCTGTGTATGAGCAATTAAGCGATATTGCTAAGATAATTTCTTGCTAGGGTCTATTGTTAACCTTCATTTTTATTTTGTTAGATTTTACATTTTCTTATCCAGAAAAGCACCTGGAGAATGTTCAACCCAAATTGAGAAGTTACAACTAATTAACAGTTAAGGTGCAGAAATGTCTGCTGGACAGATGATCATCGTCAATTTAGTTATATGACACTAATTACAGTGACAATCAAACCTGGACTCCCAGAGAGAGGGAATAGTAATATTTCTAGAAGGAAAAACAGATGACTTGAGCACATTGGTGAGCTCATGGTTCTTGTATCGCAGAGGAGCATGTAAGTACAGCATCTGCGACTGATATGAAGATATTCTCCTCTCCAATTAACTTGATTAACCCAGACGAATGGAGTTTGTCAACTACGAATTGCACTGGACTGCCTATTACAAGCTGTTGCAAACACGAAAACACAGCGATCATTAAGATTAGTTCAAACTAGAGCTTTGTGCATGGATCATTAATCTGAAGACATCAAATCAGAACTTTGTGTCGTGTTTGTGTGTATACCTTCACATTTTTCTTTTCAAGGGTCTTGTATAACTTTTCAAGGGCATGTGTACCACTGGTATCAATATCTGCAACAGCTGCAACCAGTAAAAATACAAAAATTCTTCAGAAACTCCTTAATTGAAAACCAGTATAACTGAAGTTATGGAACAAGATATTCTGAAGTTTTGCCAGATGTTTACATGACATATCAATTATAAGATGTTTGATTTCAGGGAGGTTCTTGTCTGCAAGCTGTTCCTCCTCCTCATTCAGCCACTTCATTATCCTGCATCAGTGGACTAGCTAGTTAATTGACCATAAAAAAGTGTTTAAAATGACTAAACCATGTTTATATGATGGCGGAATCTGTAGTTGTGTGCCTGTCTCTGATATAGTTAGAGTTGGCGAAGTAGATTGCTGAGTCAACTTTGACAATTAGAATGCCTGGAACCATTCTTGCCTCAGAAAACTGATGAGTGTTCTTATACTCAGAAGAGCCAGGAAGCTTTCCGAGTACTGTAGTTTGTGGGCGCGTCATCCTGAACATGATCTTGAAGATTGATAAGCAGACCTGATTACAGAATTTCTCTTACAGCTGAATAAATTTTCATTTGAGTGTAAAAATAAAAATTATTCTTGATGTATCAGTCTTACTGCTATTAGCAGGCCGATCTCCACTGAGTGAAAAATCACGCCGAAGAAGGCACCCATACAAGCAACAAAGTCAAACTTGTCAACTTTGCATATTCGTATGATCTCTTTGATGTCAATCAGACCAAGCACAGCAGATATGATGATAGAAGAAAGTATGGCATTTGGGATATACTTGAACAAAGGCGTTATCACCATGAGAGTCAATAGTACTATGAAGCACATCACAATGTTGGAGGCTGCTGTCTTACAACCAGCCATATAATTTACTGCAGAGCGGGCAAACCCTCCTGTACGCGAGCAGAATTAGTTAGGTGCTCATTAAAACAAGGGATAAAGCTATAAGAGACAATGATCATAAG